GTATATATGGAAAGGGCATTAGGGTAAATATGATTCGTTTGACTCACCGACGAATTGTTTCAGAATCCCCACACACACACAGATGACGTTTGGGACGGGTCATGGCGACTGCCGGTTGTTGACGTCGTTAGCCATATGTCAGAAGATACCTGAAGCCTATGTGGTGATCTGCCACCTGCTTATCGGTCGTCCAACTACCTCGTCCATCGGAAATTGGAGGTTCTCCTGTCTCGCACGGGAAATAAAAGGTTTAGGGCAATAAAATCTGAACACAAAGCAACCTACCATTCAGCCGCCTCTTCTCACCAAGAAAACCGACCTTGTGCTCCGGATTGCTGCGTACAAGACTCACAATGACAGCTTCTTTCTCACGCCCCTGAAACCCATCCACACTCCCCAATTCTATCCCGGGATGCTTGTCCCCCAGCAATTGAGACAGAATGGCCAACTGCGCATTATACGGTGTCACCACAGCAATATCTTCAGGCTTCACGCCAGTCGCAACCAAATTCTCGACGTGTCGAGACACCACAGCAGCTTCCATATCATTGCTCTTACTCTCCGCAAACATGGGTTCCTGCTTTTGCTTGGACTCCACAGCAGGTTCCTCGGTTCGTTCGGGGAAATCTCCTCCTTGCGTATCGTAGAATACCAAAGGTTCCCGCGTGTCATCGGTCTCTGCGACTTCATATTGCAAATCTTTAAGTAACCGCAGTTTCACCGCGTCTGCTGCAACTAGCTTGGATTCGTATAGCTCTTTTGAAGGAAATTTCATGATTTTCTCGTGCATGCGATATTGCGTGGTTAGCATGCGTTTGATGGCGGGACCGTGCAGTGACAGCAAACGATCAAAAAGTGTCACTTCTAGTGTAACTCCTTTTGTCGCCTTATGTTGTCCTACACTACTATCTTTATCTGCGCTCAGAGTTGCCTTTTCTTCACCATTCGACTTTCCACTTTCCGCCCCGTTGGATTTCAAAGGAACGGACCTGATGGTGGGAGGCAATTGCAAGTGATCTCCAGCCAATATCGCCTTGGTAGCAGATAGTAAGGGCACCCAACATTGAGCCTCCAAAGCTTGACTTGCCTCATCAATGATAACAACATCGAACTTCTGATTCCTCAGTTGATGTCCACCAGCCCCGTGCAATGTCGCAAGTACCACTTTGCTATCCGTAACAAGGTTACCCACACATTTAGCTTCTCGCTCTCGAAACTCTTTCCGTAATTCTTTTAGATCTCTGTAGATCTCTCTCCTCTCTCTACCACTCCTAGTCTTGCGTATACTGGCCTGCTTAATCTCGATCTCTTTCCTAACGTCTTTCACAATGGCAGCGGCATCCGACGTCTGCGTTAAAACCTCCAAAGAGTAATCCAGAATAGTAGATAAAAGACGAGCTGGATGTCCGATTCTAACCAATGGCACTTTATGAGGAGCCAGCCGTTCGACTATGTTATCAACCGAGACGTTTGATGGACCACAAACCAGGACCCGTAGATTGCGGCGGAGGAGTTGTAAAATCAGCTCGATCAAGGTATAGGTTTTACCCGTCCCTGGTGGGCCATGGATGAGAGCAATTTCCCTTGATGCAAGTGCAAATCGAATTGCTTCCCTTTGCGAGTCATTTAATGTAGGGTCGATGAAATCAATTGTTCCAATGGAATCCATATCCACTGGAGAGGGTGTTGTATGCCCGAACACAACTCTCATGAAATATGTATACTCAGATTCCGTCATGTTCTCCATTTTTGTCATCGTTTGCTTCATCCTAGCAGGAGTCGAATTAGAAAATCGCATCTCGTATCCCGTAACTCTCGTAATCATAACAATGCAATACTCACCGACGATACGTAATGTCATTTGCCAGCTTTACCCTATAGCACCTCAGCTATCAGCTAATAGGTCCAATAAGCACAATTCCCATCAAAGAAGACAACAAAACTCACATCCAAACCTTCCTCGCCCAAAGATCCTCCACAGATTCTTCATCCCTCCCTTTCCCCAGGTCACCTCGCTCGCTAAAGGCAACCCAAACACTCCTCTCCCCAACCCTTGTCACCACCCCTTCCATCCCCTTATGCTTCCTCTCCTCCTCCTTCCCCCCTTTTCCCTTAGCCCCCTTTGCAATTCCGGAGCCAGCAGCACCTCGGCCCCCCGCTGAAATATCCTCAACCCTCACCACATCACCAACTCTTATCCCATGAGCCCCCAATCTCTCCGCTCCGCCATCACCAGCAACCTCGCCCTCGCCCCCACCTCCTCCACCATTATTGTTCCTCGCACCAGACCCGATCGCGCTATCCACTCCAAATTCCCCAACTTCACGACCGCCCATCCCGGTCCGACAGTTGATCAGCACTAGGCCTGTCAATGCATGTCCGGTAGCTTGTAATGCGCGGCGAGTTGAGGCGGATACACTGCCACCTGATTGAGCGATGGAGGCGGCGAGCGCGGACGAAGCGATTTCGGCTTCATGTTCAGCTAGGAGAAGACGTTGCTGGGTTTGGGCGAAGGATTGGATGGGAATTGAGGCTGGAGTTGGCATGGGGTTAGATTGATTAGCCTGGTTGAATAAAGAGGATGTTTCTGATGAGGGGTGGAACATGTATTCCCAACTTGGATGTCAAACTATTTGAAATAGAAAGGGACGGAGGGGTGAAAACAAGGTTTCTATCGCGAGGTGTATTGTATTGTTAAATGAATATTAGGGTGGAGAATTGTTGGATGTTAGGGGGCGTGTATTCTTGGTGGTGGTAGGAGGGGGCACAAAATATAATTTAAAGAGGTTTGGTCTGTGTCTTATCAAAAATGTTTACAATGGAACAAAAAAAAATAGCCTTAGTGCGGAAACAACACACATATGTATGAAATACTCTAGATTTATTCTGAAATTCAACCCTCTTAGTTTATTGTAGGTATAGATCTAGAAATGCGATGTGAGTTTTTGTCCTTCAGATTTACAGCATGGACAGAAAATCCGACAATGGCATATATCTCCATAATCATCATCATCCACAACCCCAACATATCACTGTTCCTCTGTGTCTTCAACTTTAACATCAATCTTACTCTCCTTCTTTACCAGCCGTATATCTCCCTCCACTTTCCTCTCTTTCTTCACCTTCCCCACCCACCCTTTAACCTCACTCTTACACAAGCCCGATCCTGCAAGCTCACACTCCCCACATCTCCTGGCTACAGGCAAACAAACCGTCTGCCCCAATCCAACCAACAGCTTGTTAATCTCATGCCACTTGTCCCTGGGCAACCAGCTCTCCAGCGCCGCCCGCGTCTCCTCAGGCGTTTTCGTCTTATGCCACCCCCATAGATTCGTGATGCGGTGCACATGTACATCGACGCCGATGCCCTCATCACGGCCCCAGGCTGAACTCATGCACAGATATGCCATCTTGGGACCTACTCCTGGCAATCGCATAAGCCCTTCGATGGTAGGAGGGATGTCTGAGTCGTATTCGTCGCGCAGGATGATGGCAGCCTCCTTGATGTATTTTGTTTTGTTGTTGTGGAAACCAATGGTTTGGATGAGTTGGTTGAGACGGGTGGGGGAGACGGCGAGGATGTTTTCAAGAGTAAGAGTGCTCTTTGCCTGTTGCTTGGTGTGGTCCCATACTAGTTCTTTCATTTCCTGGTCGTCCTGTGCTTCTGCTTCTGCTTCTGCTTTTACTTTTATTCCCCCTTCCCCTGCCTTCTTTATTATCTGCGTCCCATCATCTGTATCCGTACCCGCCCGCTCCGACCCTAATTCTGTATGCAACCGCTGCATTGCGAGGGCTGTGACAGTATCCTTCGTCTGCGACGAAAGCATCAGAGCAATGAGGATGTGGAAGCGCCTCTCACGCGGGGAGGAAGAGCGCCAGTAGAGCTGGGAGCAACCCATGGTATCGACAGGAGCGGTGGGGTTCTTGCGCCGCATTTCCTTCACTGTATCATAAATCTTTTCCCAATTCAAAGGGGGTTCAACTTTGACAGTTCCATCTGCCGCTGTGGTTTTGCGCGCTGGTAGTTTTCGGGATTTGGGTTTCGCACCAAGCTTCGGCTTTGATTCCTCATCCTTGGCAATAATAAAATTTTGAGGTGTACTGGATATTCTAGTCGACGAAGAATTACGCCCTGTAGAAGTTGATTGTTCAGTTTTGATAGTGGAAATCGTGTCTTGGCCACGCTTCCGCTTTCGCTTCTGAGATACAGGAGTTAAGAGATCTTCGATGTCAGTGGTGTTCGCAGAAGAGAGAAATGAGCTGTCATCTCCTGCGCTATCATTCTGCTCCTCTTTTGTTATGGGTTTACTACGATGAGATGTTGTCTGCTTGTCTGACAGCGCAGAACTTCTCAGAGGGTTGGAGCTGGCGATTCGTCGTGATTGGCGGCGCGGAGTGGATGATAGGATATCGGCTAGCTTTGCGGTCTCCCTGGAGACTCGCGATGTTCGCATTTTAGGCTTATCGATTGTTATATATATCCAGGGTTTTGCAGTCGTTCGACTCGTTTGACTATTCAGGGGCAATTCCAAAGCCCTTCAGTTCCTAACAACCAATAGGATTAGTCATGCCGATTACGAGCCTCACGTGGTGATAAGGGGCTCCAAGTTAACCTCGGCGCAAAACGAAGGATTTCCAGCTTCAACTTCACGTCTTCAACAGTGCATTATGACAACATCATGCAAATTTTCCGGGGCCTCGTGTTTTATCCGTAACCCAACCTCCCAGATTTTCCTTTGTCTTCCTCATACAATACATAAAACAAAAGGCACCCGCAATGGCCCAACAACCCTCCTCCGCCTCGACCACAAAACGGCTCATCCGCGAGCTCAGTGACTACCAGAAATCTCCCAACGAAGCCCTCTTACACCTCGGTCCCATAAACGACATAGACTTGCTACGCTGGGAAGCAGTCCTGAAAGGTGTAAATGGCACACCGTACGAAAGTATATTTTTCCCCAGTCGTTGAACCCCCCAATAAAAACAAAAACAATCTCAGCATGTTAGATTCTCCAAAAGTCTCAAAACTGAACATCACCCAGGCGGCCTCTGGCACCTAAATATCACCATCCCGCCCACCTACCCCCTCCACCCGCCCACCATTACTTTCACAACTCGCATCTGCCACCCAAACGTCTCCTTCACGACGGGTGAGATATGCCTAACCCTTCTCACAACAGAACACTGGAGTCCCGCCTACACACTATCCTCGACACTGTCGGCGATTCAGCAGTTGCTGACGGACCCGCGGCCGGAGAGTCCGCTTAATGTTGATGTGGCGGTGTTGATGAAGAGTGGGGATCGAGTGGGGTGGGAGGGGTTGGTTAGGTATTGGACGGGGGAGGAGAGGTGGGCGGGTGATGCCAGTGGGCGGAGATGAGTGGACAGGAGTAATGGGATATAAATGGTTGTTATTTGTTGAGATAAGTATATATAAAAATATATATACGTGGTTGGAGGTGATGACAGGGGATATATCGACCCTGGCTCGTTTAGCTTAATTATTCTTGATACCCCCATCTTGAGGTAGAATGGAGATAGATATCCCCTTGGTGAAATGGGGAGAAAACCCCGAGAACGGTGCGCTGCTCATTCTTGATCGACACCAAAGGGCGGGGGGATTGTCTCTATGAAGGGAAAATAGCTTGACTTCCCGGTACCAGCTTACTGGGGTGGCAGAGGGACAAGCCACGTCCCTTTCGACAGGGTTGGATTCTACGTTGGAAGTGTTTGTCTACGGTTTGCTGTGTAGTTCGGACTCCAGACAATCGAACAAGCTTTGCCTTTAAGAGATACTACCCTTTGTTTGTTATCCCCTCTCTTTGACTTCTATTCTATTCAATTTAACTATATTATCTAGTAACTACTGATTAGAGGACTCCTCTGCACTGTTAGAAAATAGGTTCTTACATGGGCTCGATGGTGACCCCTACACCCTGCACAAAATCAAGCTTGAAGACCTTCCTTGATCTGGTAACTTAGAGCAACGACAAATATTAGGAACCAAAATAATACGAAAAGAGAGAAAAGCAAGTGGAAAGCGTTCTTCAAAATTGGGTTACAATTATTATCTCTTACGAAAGAACAGATTAGGTATGTATATAAATTCGAAACAACCTCCAACTCCAGCTTGCATTCACTCAATCCGGGTCGTTACTCATTATACCATGTTTCCCTTCCTTTCTAATCCGTGAAAGCCAAAAGACAAAATTAATAAAGTTTATCTGCACGCAGCTCATTCTTTCCACTTTCTCCCTTCGAATTATGGGGTCTCTCATTTTTTCCCCCTTGCAAAACATCTCCATTATTCGGCATCCATCGCCCAACACTCAACATCCCACCACTCTCATTAGATCGTCGCTTCCAAATCTTCCCTTTTACCATTCCCCCAAATAGCCGTATGACTCTTGTCTACAAAGCCATAGCAACAGCAATAACACCGCCAGCAACAACCAAAACATCCGTCCCCAATCCACAGCGAACAGACATCCGCGGCGCACCACCACCCATTTGCAATCCAGGGGTATTCCTTGGTGGTGGTTGCGAGTTCGCTGCTGACGTGCGAATGACGACGACAGATGTGATTGTTGTCAGTGACCCGTCTGAGTTTGTGGTTTGAATGAGCACTGTGCTTGAACTTAAGGTGTCGCTTGACTGGGAGGTTGGCGATGGTGCATTTGCGCTCGACGTGGGGTCATCTGACGTATTTCTGCTCGTGGCTGAGGTGGGTCGATTCGGAGTTTCGTTGGGTCCTGTGGTAGCTCTGGTGCTGGGGGGGGGAGGTGCAGAGGTTGGGGACGAGGGAGGTGGGTTTGATGGCGTTGGTCCTGGCGATTGCGATGACGGTTGAGATGGCGATGGCGACGGCGTTGGTTCTTGGGTTGTAGTGTCGGATGGGGGATTTGAAGGTGTTTCGGAAGGGGATGGCGTTGGTGTTGGTGTTGGCGTAGGAGTGGGGGTGGGGGTATTTGCGGGTGGATCAGGAGATGACTCTGTTGGCGAAGGAGTGGCGGAAGGAGTCTCGAGGTTAACGGGAGAACTTTCGGAGGATGATTGTTCGGGGGTGCTTTGTGGGCTTTGGTTACCTGATGGTTGAGGTTTCATGGTGGAATCACTGCCGTTTTGTCTTTTATTAACTATATCAAAACTGTGAGCTGAGACTACATATTCTGCCAGGTATTGTATCACAAGGCCGGATTCGAGCTGAGAGGGATTTAAACGAACCAGCAAAATGAGGGCGGGAGTGGGCCTGGAAACCCATGGCCTTTTCCCATTCCACGGTAGCCACTGAGGAGATGAGGATGAGAGTGAGGAAAAGGAGGAGCACAGGGCTCCACAGTCGAGCCATTTGGACAGGAGGGGGTAAGAGGCAGGAGGCCTCTCAGTATGGGTTCTTTTGCTCGAAGGGAGGAAGATTAAAAGTTTGAAGGGATTAAGACTTGGTGGCCTTCAGATGTAGAGAAGGGGAATGCAGTACAAATAAGGAGTAAAAATAAAGGAGTGCGTAGTGTATAGAAATAGGAACGAAATCCGAGGGACCGAGGGGTGAGCGGGGGTGGGGGTGGGGGGAAGAGAAGCCAGCCGGAGAGCAAAAGGAACGAGAGAACGTAGTGAATGGCGAATTGCTGAGTGACGGTTGGATAGAAAATCTTGAGTTGTGTATATTGTACACAAAAGGCACAAACAAAAACAAAAAGAAAGGCACAGAGATCTAAAATAGCACACAAGCTCCACCTCTGCCAGCAGGAACAGGAAACAAACGCTGAGAACCCAGATCGGGCAGAAAGGGAATTCTGCAAATTATTTATTACAGACAGTGAGTGTCCTGCCGCAGAGCAGACGCCCGGAAGATGCAGAACCAGGAAGAGAGAGGCCTCGCAGACCTAAGAAAGGAGAGGATTGATTTTATTCAGCAAAGGGAACCCGTCAATGTCGGAGGAAAATTGCTGGAGAGGAAGTTGAGCACCAGGAGAGGAACGACAGCTAGGCCAGCGATATTAAGTTGTTCGAGCATGCTATGCGAAGGGAGGGAGGGCATGATACTTGGGTTTCAGGGAGGGAAGAAGGGGAATCGAGGAGAGTAGATATGCACGAAACCAACAGCGGGGCGGAGCAAGAAATCAAGGAACGGCAGTCTAAGCAGGTCAAGATATGCGGGAAAAATTCAGACAGATTTTTTTTACGTCGTGGGCCAGCACTAGCCGGCTGCACAATGATGTTTTGGCTGTTTGAGCTCTGCTTTTGTGAAGGCTTATGCCTCCTTCATCCTTCAAAACGAGCCAACACAAAACAGCCGGTTTCCAGCGACCAGCCGCCAATGGGCTTAACAAAATCATGGATCTTCGCACAGAAATGCTTGGCTATTACTTGGCTCCTCTACCCATCTTCTGTGTATCCCCAGCCACATACAGATCGGTGCTTACTGATTGGTGCTGGGTGAGAGAGGGGCCTCGTTTGCCTCACTCAGCTCCTGGTGTCACTTGTCCGGCGTTACCGTTGCAGCCTCAACTGGGTCCAGTTGCTTTCGGCCTGCGAGAATCTGAGACCCGTTTCAAAACCAGGCCTTGAAAAGTGGGCTGTGGCGAGTGGCAGTGAGTGAGTGTGCTGCTGACAGCTGTCTACACCTGTTGGAAGTCCGTCCTGATACAAGTTCAGCTTCAAAACCCTCCCCCTTCCAATTAATTAAGCCTCCCTCGCCCGATGGATACTATCCTCCGATCGGGGGAAGTAGTTAAAAGCGCTTTGACGATCGGGGACAGGGCAAACAAATAATGCCAGTCTGCCATGCGATCTGGGATCCGTGAACCACCGGAAGGAATCCGATAAAAATTGCAAGGATCGGTTCCAGTCAGTCGGTTTAGGACCAATCGGCTGGGAACCGCCAGAGGGGAAAAACAAAATAAAGACAAAGTAAATACAACAACTACACAAAACCGTTCATAAAGAAATTCTGGCTTTTGCTACTTACAACAACCCTGCGGGTCTCCCCATCCTGGTGTGTGTGTTTTGTCTTTCCCTGCCATAAAGAATGAATGATGGTGTTTCATCAAAACACGCTGTCTCATCAAACATGCTGTCTCTCTCCAATCTATCTCTCCCGCTGTTGTTGGTTGTCAGTGTCCCAAAACCCCGATATACAAAGGTCCCCTCTACTATTTGACAGAGCTTGGGTCAATGATTCATCGCCACCTCTTGGCTGCATCGAGTCGAGAGGTTCCTCCGGCCAGTAAAACCCCGAAGACGTTACTTTGTATTTCTGTTTTGGCCTCTTGGCTTCCCTTCGACAGTTTTGACGTTGGCCCAGTGTGGCAAATCGCCAGGAACCTCGACGAGTAGATTGTTCTGATTTGTGTCGGCATGAAAAGATGCATAAAGTATTTATACCAACAACTACTGCAAAAGTCGTACTCATGCAGTAGTTACAAGTCTATGATCTAATATATATATATATATATATATTATTCCAGAATCAGAATTGAAGCAGCAGCAGCAGGACAATGACTGTTCACCCGTCTTCTTCAGCATAAACTTTTGTTTGTTTTGGAGGGGTTGATGAGTCAGTCGATCCCAAGATTCTCTCGGGATTTCATCGGCGCTGATACGAATCAAATGTATCTGAACCCTTTTTAGTTGGCAACCCAAATGTGGCTAATTTTAACGTCGGTTACGTCTCCAGTCATTTGCCAGGCTGCGCCTCAAATTCTTTCATGAGGTGCGCAAACATAGCAAGCCTGTGATGTGACGTGCCATAATGGCTGGTGAAATACATACGGTTTTCAATGATAATCAAAAAGCATGCAGATCACGAGTGTCGAAGAAGCTAATTCTGTTCGCTGGAGATATATCCACAACAGGAAATATCGTGGATGTGCAAACGGAACCAGTGGGTGAGGTTTGCCATCTTCTCAACACCTCGGAAGGGCGGATCGGCTGGTACTTGGCTTCTGAGGTCCAAGTACGGTTATTTTTAGAAGACAATGCCCCTGTGAACAAAAAGCAGGGAGAGGTTACTAACAAAGTTTTTTTGATATCTTTATAGACCCCAGAGGTACGCATGTTCCATGCGTGAGAGGCCCATTCTCCGAATAGACATGGATAGGTTGGCGTGATCACCAAGATGCGGGCGTCCTATTGGCGCTGCTAGCGGCTGATGATGATTGGAGTTGAAGGTCTTCATTTGTCACCTGAAAAAGTTTCGCTGGAGGGTCCAATCTCATGCTAGCCTCGAATGGTTTTACTTTTTAACTCTTGCCATTGAACTCTCGAATTGCTCGTTGTATTCGCCTCGTTACCGTGTCTGCCTTCTCGTCCATGTCTCTGGTTTTATTGTACATGAAATTCCTATGAACACCCTAGCGGCAATGTTCCACCGGGCCAAAGAGATGAGAGCCCTGGAAGTTGAGCTGTCCTGTCACGAGATGGAACCAATGTCACCCTTATACCCATGAATTTCTAACGGTTGATTCAGATTGGTTGTTGGGCTGGATAGAATCGGCTCGATTGCTTCGAAATTGTAGTGGATTAACATCCCTCTTGGGGGGAAGGACGTCATATTTTTCGTCTCAAGTTTGGACGTTGATGTCACCTTGACCTATTCGTGGATCATAACACAAACTTCGGACTGAGGGTCATACATCTCTCGAAGCTATGCAGGAGCTCTTTTTCGTCCAATTCACCATACTTCTTAAGAAAACATAATTGCTTGGGACAAGCACCGTGGCATGGTTTCTCGATAAACACCATGTGAAGGCGATTTTAGCTGATGGATGAAGAACATGAGAACCCGTTTTCACAGCCAGGTTACTAACGCCGACTGTTTAAATGCAACCAACAAATGCATCGATGCTATTTAGATTATGCGTGAATTGATATACCTTCTGAACGACTTTCCCACCATTACAGCTGTTCAGTCTTCGACGGGCAATGACAAGCCGATGGCACAAGGGCATCGGCATCAGGCTTTCCGCCCTCGTGCAGTTGAGAATGGCTAAACGACTGGATAGATGCGGGGACATCAAGAGCAGGATTCTTCTGGAAAAAAACGTCTGGCTTTAAGCATGATGTGCTTATCCGTTCAACAGGCATGATGGGGAAGGCTTCAGGGCGTGGGTTGTATGGGTGAGACCGAATGCTGTGATTTTTGCAAGTTGTTTGAATTAGCATACTTGTACCCAGTTGACTGGTATAGGGGGTTTTAACCACCGACGCAACTAAAGCAGAAAATACTAAACAAAAAATAGGAGTGATACATACAATGCCGCAATCCAAGGTCGTTAACTTCAACATTATCCTTTCGTGCAGTCCATTCTTCAACGCCAGCGCTCTTCTTGCTCTGATTAATGGACTCGCCAGCGGCGTACAGTTCACCATACTTGGTCACCCAGATCGGCTTGGTCGCACACTTTGCGCGGGTCTGATTGAAGCTCCGCGGGTTCATCAACATCATCTGGCTTGCAAGTGCTTGCAATTTATAAGCGACCGGCTTGTGTGAGATCGGGTTGATGGCGTTGTCATTGCGAATTTTGAAAACACGATGTCTCATCAACATTTGTATTCTCAGCCCCGGGCGTTTTCAGTACGGTGGTTTCCGCGGTGTATCCCATACCATAGGGTTAGCGACCGCACCTTCAGGCATTGGGATACTGTCTTGATAGACTACAGCATTGTTATGTCCGTCTATGGGTGGGTCAATGCGCATGGAGAAGATATGTTGGTGGTACCCAGCCATGACACCCGGCCCAACATTGGTGCCCCAAGGGACGGTGGCACCATGGTCGATGAGCATGGCGGAAGGAATACCGGTGGCGCGGACTTCGAGTTCGATGTCTCCTGCTTGGTCGAAAATCCAGGCAAAGATTTACTCGTAGTTAGAAACGGCGCAAATCATCTGCACGACCAGTTGGCGGTTTCTGGCCACGGTGGCCTCACCAGAGCGATAATTCGTATGTTTTGTGCTGGAGGCCAGCGTCCTGTTCGTGGAGACAGACTACGTTTTCCAGAACGACTGGGGGGCCCTTGGAATCTCTAGAATCGCTTCAACATCCGTTTGTTTAATGTGGCCTGGGCAGTCACAGTCTAGTGACAGTGATTGGCAGTAATTCCGAATCCGACATTGCCAACATCGAACGCCTGTTTGCGGTGATAGGGAGCTCGTGGGTCTTATTATAGAAATTTTAGCATGATGACTCTCAACTAGCAGATTGCGCCATTGGGGCCCTGACATACCGCCCTATGGAACTGTCATTTCGCTTACGGACAGCCGATAAAAGATATTGCGTTTTTATCAGAAGTGGTATATTGTATAGTGTCAGGCCCACCCTGGAATTGGAACAGACACTGAAATCCCACTTGACTGCATCGCCATTCACAGAGAACGAGGCTCCTTCGGGTTGTTTGCACGATGTATGGTTTGAGATCTGTTCTTAGCGGCTCATCAAGGAGGTCATATGTGAACTTAACTGTCTTTACCGGAGTCCACGGGCATGTTGAGGCAATTGAATGATCTGTTCCAGTCGGAAGGTAGTCTATCCGCACAAGTTCACAGGTGATGCCATCGAAAACTGGGGAGAATGGCATTGGCGGAGAATAATGATTCGCCTGTAGGATGGGCTTTGTCTGTCATGTACATGTAGCACTGGAACAATCTCCGAGCTTCATTGATGTCATCACAACCGTAGATCCAAGGGTCATTGAGAACGGCGATGCCAGCTGGAAAGCTTCAGTTTTTCAACTTCGGCGAGAACTACTGGGTGATTAATACAGAGTTGTTCGATTTCTAGTATCTCGTCGACGTCGGCGGGTCCCTGGTGAGCTAGTTAGAGCCCACATCGGGACACCATAGGAGAGCGAGGCGGCTCTTGTTCTAAGGAAACGCATACCTGCACCTCCTTAGGGAACTCCTCTCCTTTAATGATTGATCAGAGCTCTCAAGAAAGCATGAGTATCGAGTAGGTGAAACAACACTTGGACAAGCCGAGGTGGTTTAGTGGGGGGAGGATTGCCCAGCCGCTCTGCCTCTATATTGGGACGACATCTTTCTTGATGGGTTCTTGTATATCGGATAACCTTGAACCGCAGAGGTTACCGTGGAATGATGTTTGAAGAATTTTCGCCTCGACTGGGCGGATAGGGTGAAATGGATGTGGTTCCATGGTGTTTTGAATATCGAAAAGGAGCAAAACGGGCAATTATTATAGAAATTGACCCCAAGCCGGAAATTAATTGACAATATACGAATCCTTCCCCAAGGAAAGAAGGCAGAAGCGGCTGACAATTTATAGACCGACTTGCTGGCGATGATTTACGCAGTGAGGAATAAGTGACACCCTTGATGTTATATAGCCGGAATGATCCCCGCCCTGTCTGTCTCCAATATGCGCAGGAATAATGAGCAAATCCTTGTTCTATCATCAAATCCTTCAACTGATAAAAGTAGATGTTTAAATTGCTAACTGCAGGAAACATTAGACCGAGTAGACACCAACTAGCGACGGTTCACCACTTTGATTTAGCAGAACAATGCGGGGATGACCTTAGGATAAAGCCATGGGCCAGAACCCACCGCATAACGTTAACAGTAAATATTGCATTATTTGGAATCCCGCAGAACGGATACCAACTGCAGAATTTATCCTCGTATTTCTTTCTTGTATATACCACCTACGTGGTTAGCATTTTTCTTCGATTTTGAACATCAAAACCCAATGTTACCGAGGCTGACACAGCTGTACCTTGGAACATGTAACTGGAACTTAGATTGCGCTTGTTGGATGCTCAATCTACCTCTCCGAGATAGCTCCATCTTTGGCCCCGATGGGACACTGCTGTCTAACTCGGTATGTTTCTGCATGCATCTCGCAAATATCGAGATCTCGCATAAACTAAGAATCTATCTGGGGAGAAGCGGCGAGGTCAAGCTGGATCTCCAGGCCGAAACTTCTTGATTCAAAATCGAGCATGACATATGCGCAAGTTCTTGTTGTAAAGGCCAAAGCGTGACACAATAAATGTTGGATGGTTGATCTCTCTCTCTCTCTCTCTCTCTCTCTCTCTCTTATTGGAGCTCGCTAATCTGTATAGATATATACACGGCACGGCGGTCGGCCCGGGCAACGGCTAAGTTAATCCGTGGCCGCCCAACCATAACTAGTTGAAATCGTTGCATGGTAACAAGCGACACAGGCGGAACTCCATATTTGAAGGCCAGTCTTTCGCTCCCCGTTCTTGGGCCACAGCCTTCACTCAGCATTGGTCCTGCGGATCGGTCCGAGAATTTGATGTTCGGCGGGTGTCTGTTTGGATGATGAGTTTCGTAGTGATCGTGTAATTACGAGCCGATGGCCAAACCTCCGCAGTGGTTTTCAGCTCCTAAATAATTACACGTATCGCTAACTCGTTACTTAATATCGCGGCAACAGCATCATACCGATTGGTTTCGCAGTTCGAGAGATGTTCAATTATGTGCAACCCCGACTTCGTCATACAATGGATGTAGCTCAACAGAGATTATTTTTTCCTGCAGTCGGATAAGGGTCAGATAGCTGGGACCGCTGCATCCCCACGGATCGAGGATGACTAGGGCCTTATATTTGAGACCTTCTTCTCTAGCTGTCCCATTTCAGTTCATAAACAAGTTGGAAATGAATTGAGGGGGATGACAAAATACATACCACAATCCCTTTTCGGTTCAATGCATCCTCCCAAGCTAACTGTTGAGACCCATACTCAGTTCTAGCGAATATCCCAGGGCCAAGAACGGCCCCGGCTCTGCGCTAGATCACAAGTCGTTAGGCAGCCAAATTGATGAAGATCGAGTGCCTCATTGCCGTGTCTCTGAGCTGACAATTCTTTCACTCTTGAAGCTCTGGCGATTGCTATTTCAGGGTTGAGCTAACAGCCAAAGTCGTTCATCACAGACATGGAAAACTCGCAGCCAGAGCCTGAAAAGCAGCAGCCTGAGGCAGAGGAGAGGCCTCAATTCAAGTACTTCTGGGTATGGAGCAAACGAACTGCTATTATCATGCCTGCTTTGTGACCTTTTTTTTTTTTTTTTTTTTTTTTTCGGCTGACACTTTACTGTTTCAAAAGAGAATATTGGGCCATGGAGCCCTCCTTGACAAGCTCCTGATGGGAGCTGCTGCGCTGTGCGCTGCAGGAGCAGGCGTGGTAAGTAGATGTACAATTCTCTGTATCCTCTGGTGAACACTTTATTCCAAACTACTAACCATGGCAAAGGCTTTCCCCCTGATGAACATTATATTCGGTTAGTGCTCCTGCAGCCGGGCGAGTCGCCTGTCAATGATTTTGGCTTACACTCTTATGTCTAGGTAATGTTGTTGGTGATTTTAATGGATATTTTATTCCCGGTTCAGGGGTAACCAAGGATGCTTTCCTCCACAGCGTAAACCGTAATGTGTAAGTATACTCGTGCACTTGCTATGCGGCGGTACGTGATAAGCCGCCGAAAGGAAAATTATAATGAAGAAGTAAAAGAACGTATGACATTCCGGGATGAGAAATAGACTGACGAATTCGCAGGTTATACATAGTTTACCTCTTTATCGGCAAGCTCGTGCTTGGATACTTTTCAATGGTAAGTGTATCCCAAGGTCGCAAGCGAACCAGCGAGAAACCAGTTAACCATATCAAGTTTGCTCTACGAATGACCGGAATCAGAATATCTTCCCGGCTTCGTCTATCATATCTCCAAGCCCTCTTCAACCAGCCGATTAGCGTTCTTGATAAACTGCCCCCTGGACGGCCGACAAACACGATTACCACCTCATCAAACACGGTTCAGGCAGCTATATCGGACAAACTGGCCATACTCGTTCAGTCGCTGTCACTGGTCATCGGCGCCTATGCTGTCGCCTTCCGCTTTTCCTGGGCTCTGACATTGGTTTCAAGTTCTTCCATGCTTTTTATCTCGATAGTATACCCAATCCTTATTCCCATATTTATGAAAAGGCTGAAGCAAGTTGAACAAGCGAACGAAAAGGCCTCTTCGGTTGCAGCAGAAGCACTTGGCTCAATTAGAACCATCGTTGCTTGTTGTGCAGAGGGCCAACTTGCCGCCCGCCATTCAATATGGGTTTCAGAATCACGCAAACAAGGAATGAGTCTGGGTCCCATGATTGGTGCCCAGCTTGCCCCGTCGAATTTCGCTCTGTACTCCAGTTTTGCGTTAACCTTCTGGTTCGGCGTTCGACAGTACGCATCGGGGAGTATACCAAACGTCGGTCCAGTAATTACGTATAGCTTCTTTTCCTTCCCCCAAGAACCTTGACAGTGTAGGTACGTTTTTATCTAATGCTTCACCATTTCGTAGGGTTATTTTTTCGATTCTCTTGGTGGTCTCAACCCTTTCTTTTATTGTAAACCCTGTCATTGCAATTTCCAAGGCTGCAAGTGCGTCAACCTACTTCTTTGAGATGATCGACGCACCGACGCTCAAAAGGTCGGGATTGAAAAATCAACCTGTGTCAACCGCGGATATTAGCTTCAGAGACGTGAATTTTTCTTATCCAAGCCGTCCAAATGTGAAGATTGCCAACAATTTAACGCTGGACATCCCGGCTGAAAAGTTAACTGCCATCGTTGGACCTTCTGGATGCGGGAAGAGCACGATTGTTGCGCTGCTGGAGCGCTGGTATCAGCTTGAGAACAAATTTGATGGAGACAGTCAAAAAATGAGCAATTCTCCGCAGAACAATAACTCTGAGAGTGTGGAATTGAACGAGTCAGAAACAGTTCCCAACAGCGGCTCGATAACAATAGGACCTCATAACCTTTATGACTTAGATCTCAAGTGGTGGAGATCTCAGATCGGATTGGTTCAACAGGAACCCTTTACCTTTAACGCCACCATTTACCAGAACGTTGCGTATGGCCTGGTGGGATCAGAATGGGAGAACGAAAGTGAGGAAGTGAAACGAGAACTAGTTAAAGAGGCCTGTCGCGAATCTTTTGCTTCCGAGTACATCGAAAGATTGCCAGATGTAGGTATATCCCATTCTCCTCCTGCTACTGGCCTGCTTTTACAAATATTGAATTCTTTAGGGATATAATACCATGGTAGGCGAGAATGGCGTGAAACTCAGCGGAGGCCAGCGCCAAAGACTTGCAATTGCCAGAAGCATCATTAAACGGCCACCCATCCTTATCCTGGATGAAGCGACTAGTTCAATAGATGTGCGTGGAGAACGCATTGTTCAAGAAGCACTCGACCGCGTTTCGAAAAACCGAACAACGGTAACCATTGCTCACCGATTGTCGACCATCAAAATGGCAGATAATATCATTGTGATGAAGAGAGGTGAGACTGTCGAACAAGGAACACATGATGAGCTGATTAGAAGTGAAGGATTATACCATTCATTGGTTGAAAACCAACGACTCGAAATGGGAGATGAGGATCCTCCTGACATTCAAGGCGAAACAAGTAAGAAAGATCAAGAACAGGATCTTCCTAGCCTTCTCAAAGAAGCGTCAAGGGTCGAAACTAGCGTCGATCCCGGTCAAGCGGCTGAGGTGGCATATAGAGCAAGGTCTCTGATCAACTCAGTCGGGCTGTTTCTCTGGGAGCAAAGACAACTATGGTATTTTGATGTTTCCATTGCCGTTACTGCAGCTTGCTGTGGTGGTAAGAAATCCCTTGATTCTTGTAACATTCAATTTGAAGGTTTTTATGGTAAAAGATACAGTATGTTCTTTAGCAGTAACTGATCAATATCTACTCAGTCGCATTCGCCATACAAAGCTATCTATTTGCCCAACTTACCACCGTCTTTCAGTTGAAGCGCCCCGAACTCATAGACCGGAGCGAATTTTGGTCGCTTATGTTCTTCGTGCTAGCCCTCTGCGTCGGAGTCTCTTATTACATATTAGGCCACACATCGACTTGTTTGTCCGCTGTAAGGATTCCTCTACTGCCTGTTACTCTCTAGCTAATCATCTCTAGGATGTCTGTAGTACGTATAGACAACAGTACTTTGAACATATCTTAGCGAAACCAATAGTATTTTTCGACAGGGAAGAAAACTCAGCAGGGTCATTATCTGCTCGACTTTCGACCGACCCGACACAATTGCAAGAACTTATCGGTCACCAGATGGCGTTCCCCCTGATTTCCGTATTTACCATTATCGGGTGCATCGCGATAGCTTTCTCCTTTGGTTGGAAATTGACGCTAGTCGCAATATTTTCCGCTTTTCCACTTATCATTTCGGCAATGTTTATCCGAGTCAGATATGAGGTCCAGTTTGAGAAGATGAATGCAGCAGTATTTGAGGACAGTTCGCAGTTCGCGTCAGAGGCCATTTCAGCATTTCGCACGGTTACTTCACTCACTCTTGAGGATACCATTACCGCCCGATATGCTGATCTTTTGCAAGACCATGTCAAAAAGGCTCTCCTGAAAGCAAGATTTACAATGTGGATATTCGCTCTCTCAGATAGCATCGAACTTCCATGCATGGCATTATGTTTCTGGTACTTTTTCAGATATGTGCACTCAGAGGAACAGCTGGCTAATTTCATTGTTTAGGTATGGAGGGCGGCTACTTAGTACCTATGAGTATGACGTTCTTAGCTTTATGGTTATTTATATTGCTGTTGTTTTGGTAAGGGAGTTTCTCTTTGCTCAACATAACCCATTTTAACTAACATGATATGTGCAGGGTGGTCAATCAGCAGGGCAATTCGGGAGTCTGATTCCTAGTAAGTTTGGCGAATCCTCACTCGATTTGTTCTGATCAATATTCCTCACTATGCAACAAACAGACGTCGCACAAGCCACAGGGGCATCCAATCGAATATTAAGCGTCAGACCATCAGATAAAAATGATGGAGATGGTGAAAAGAAAATTGTTGGCCGCTTCGAGGGGGGCGCAAGGATCGACTTCAAGTCTGTCAATTTTAAATATCCGACCCGCGATGTTACTGTGTTTAAAAAACTCAACTTCACGGTGTGTATAACCGCTTCAGCACAATTTACAGACTCGAAGGCATAAATACTAAGAAAGAAAATAAAAATAAAAATAAAAACAATAGATCGAGAAAGGCCAGTTTGCTGCCTTGGTTGGGCCTTCCGGTATGCTTATTCTTGTAACTCTGAAATTTAATATCAGTACTTCTGACGGCTAGAAGGATGTGGCAAGTCAACTGTCATCAATTTACTTGAGAAGTACGTGCCTCTGAGCTTACAGTTCCTAACTAATAAATCCTGGTCGCTCCTCTTTATCCTGATTGAGGCTTATATATACTTCTTACTAGATTTTATGATTACCAAAGCGGGAGTATTACTCTCGACGGACACGATCTACGCACTCTTGACGTTTCCTCCTATCGACAATCGGTTTCCTTAGTATCTCAAGAACCAACGTTATATCAAGGTAAGAATGCTCGCTTCTGAGCTTTAACAAACGGCTCAACTCAGCTCAGCTAACAGGTGGAGAAAGGATCCGTGAAAGACAATGTGCTGCTGGGTGTGGATCCAGCTATATTCACAGACGAAGACGTTCAAAATGCATGTAAAGACGCGAATATTCACGATTTTATCATCTCCCTTCCAGAAGGTTAGTGGCAGCAAACCTGCATACCCCCTCCGCTCGCTTACATTCGAGTGCCTCACCGGATACTGTGTGCTTAAACGCTCTTTCCGACATATATAAAAGGTTACAACACGGACGTCGGTCTACGGGGTCTGACAATGAGCGGCGGCCAGAAGCAACGCATATGTATCGCGCGAGCTCTCATCCGCAATCCAAGTATCCTTTTGCTAGACGAGGCGACCTCTAGTCTCGATTCAGAATCAGAAAAGCATGTGCAGGATGCCATTGAACGGACTGCTAAAGGAAGGACAGTCGTCGTTGTCGCGCATCGATTGGCTACCATCCAAAATGCCGATGTCATCTTTGTGTTTGGCGAGGGAGGGATCCAGGAGGTTGGGAATCATTACTCTCTACTGAAGAAGAGAGGTGCATATTATCAGATGGTATGTTTTTGGCGCTTTAATCCCTCCTGCGGCAGGGAATTCGCCCAACTGCTTTTTCTTTTTCTTTTTTTTTTCCTTTTCTTTTTTTTGACTGGATTTACTGATAATGGCAACAACAAACAGTGTAAGTCCCAAGCACTTGACCGCTAGAATTTTAACAACATCTACAAAAAGGAAAGAAAATCTTTCTTGAAAGGAAAGGAAGAAAAGGAAGAAAAGGAAAAAGAAAGAAAAAACGTTACATCTTCACTCTACTGCATCATGTCTCTGCTCATGATCATATTTTTGATTCTGCTTTCAACCAAACCCCTATTCCAAACTTTCAGTCATAATAACACAACTAACCTCAACTCCTACTTCTTTTTGTTTTTCATGTAATGTAACCACTACAGAAGAAACCAATGTCAATAGAATTTTGGTTAGGGTTTATTTTCATCTGCAGACAAACCACTCGCGCACTTCAGAATGTCATTGATTAGCAAGTACAATCCAGAGCGCCGGGAAGTTCTGCCCAGACCAGACGCATCTGGCCTTTCAGGGCACGAGGAGATGTATGGAGCCAACAGGGCCCGGGACCACGATTGCTGGATGCCCACTTCGAACCAGACGGGTATGGGGAAGAGGCCGTTGTTGAACTGCCGGAAGATCATATGCCGCCGGGCCTGAGTGGACACTGACTGCAGGAGCAGGATAGCCGCTGCGCGAGCGCCGAGGTGGGGGACGAAGCCGCAGAAGCCAGATCCACCTGTCGGGTGAGCTTTTGGCGCCAAAAAAAAAAAAATTATCGAGCCGTTAGTGAACAGTGGCGAGTTCAATCTATTCAACGTACAAGGCCAGTGCCTGGTGGAACGCATACAATCAGAACTAGCAGAAGCTGAGAATAGTTGAGAAGAGCAGCGTAAATACGGGACTCTTGACTCGAAATCACAATCTCTCTCTTCGCATTGTAAACCAGCATCGTGGCATTCGTCCCCAAGCCGCTGGCAGGGACACACGGTGGCGGGCTGGTTTTTGTTGAAGCTAGCTTTTCATCACTCTGATACGGCGTTGCGCTGAAGAGAGCTAACTTTGGGAATAATAACTAATCCCTATGAAAGACAACACCCACCGTCAAGACTCCAGTAACAATATAGATACCCAAGAAAGTGCCGTGGGAGAGACGCTGCCAGGAGAGATGACGGAAGCTGTTGCTTCGACTCCGACAACCATCAGCGTACGGGTGTTGCTCCGCTCTGCGCTGCTGGCACGACAAGCGGCAGCGCAGCAGCGCAGCAGCAAATACCCGCACAGCCAGGCGTTTGAAAAGGCAATGTCATCTGCGTATGCTATGTGCTATGTACAGGCGGCCTCTGCTTCAGAAAACAACGCCGGCTGACACATATAGGCGATTTAACACAGCAAAAGGCAAACTGGAAGAGCAGCCCTCCGCCGTTTTCAAACCATTAGGGACAAAATAAATAAATAAATTAAAAAAAAATAAAAAAAATAAAAAAATAAAAAATAAAGCCACATTCTTCACTCACGACAATAATAGCAGAATGCATGAATAGTTCCACGCAACGACTTGGCACCTTCCGCCCCCGACCGAGATGGGGTAGGAATCAAGTAGGCAGCAGCGCCAAACACTGGAACAAATATCGCCATGACATCACTTCTCCTGAGACATGATGAAATCGATTGATCCGGGGGCAATGAGTGTTGTGAAATGGCTTCCTGCGACAGAGAGAGAACTTGGATTAGCTTTTTCGCAGCTTCGGCAGTCATGTCTTGCAACGGCCAGCAGGTATAAACGAACCAACCCCCCACCCCCCCCAAAAAAAACCACCATTCCATCCAACACTTCACAATCACAATCACAAGCGCTTTTGCCTCGGCTTGTTTTTCCCAGTTAACGCTGAGCGGCGACCTGAAGGCGCTGAACATTATTGGTTGTTGTTCTTGTTGTTGTTGTTGTTGCATCTTGCAATCTTGCATTCCCGGGCATCCGAGAAGGCCGTGAAACGTGGGTGAGATCATTGGTTGAGAGAGCAGAAACGCTGATGATATGTTTCACTACCACATATTGAGATATGGCTGCATGCACACATGCATGCACACACACACACACACACACACACACACACACACACACACATGCAGTTCTATACTTTCTATTAGCAGTTTGGATTCACATGGATAGATTAAGTTTAGTGAACCTCGTTTGATGATTTCCTCCATTTCAGCATTTCAACTTCTTTCTCACACACAGAAAATCATACTTCCACAAAGCAATGCTCATTCACATACTAGATATGTATTCAGCGTAGCTACCAGCAGCAGTGGTTGAGGAAATGAATATCCCCTGTGATTCTTGATTCTACTGAGTTTGTTGCTATGAGGGAGGTTGAAATAAAGAGTCAACAATGGGCTGTCGAATGACATCACAGCTATTAACCTTAATTGCAATAAGCTCATTGACTATGTTCAAATCGGTTAGACTAAAAGGGCTTCTGAAATCACGTGATTTGAAGATCCAACACTGAAAAACGACGTATCTCTATACAAGGCGGCAAATTATGTTGTCATAATTTTTGTTAATAGTATGAGACATTGACACAGGCAAGAAGTGAATAAAAAAAAAGTCACTTATCTCTATATATGGGCTTGAGGTAAGAAGTAAAAAACCAAAAAAAAAAAATTACTTATCTCTCTATATGGGTTTGAATATATGTATTAAGTATGTGCGAATGAAAATCGTCCTTGTCATGAACCATCCAAGACAGCAGCAGAGAGGTAGATGGGAAGAGGTTTTCCAAAAGGGCAAACGAGAAAATGGCGAAAGTATAAAACGGGAAATCATCCCAGATCGCCATCTCCATTTCCGTGAAATTGCCCTCGGTCGTGTTAGTCATTGGATCCGAGACTCGACCGTTCGTCATGCGAAGGGTAACGGCTGAAGGACACGGCGAACGGACAATCGCAGCAAACAAACAGAGGGCATAAAACATTAAATGGCAAGGAAGAAGAAGGAAGAAAAAAGGTTAAAAAAAAAAAGAAAAAAGAAACACCAACTCCTCCCAAAATACACTCCTCTATCCCGACTTCTCCCCCAACACCTCCGCAATCACATCCTGACCCCCCAAACTAGCCGGACTAACATCCGTCCGCGTCCCAGCACCAGCACCAGCACCAGCACCAGCACCCTCACCATCCTTCCCCCCACCCAGAAGCATCGAACTCGTCCTCTCAAAGTACGTAAGTACATGCTTATGGCCAAGCCCCTCGTCCAGATCCTCCTCTTCAAACTGCAACTCCTTCTCCGTCGCCCTTCTCGCTATCATCACCTCCCAGTCCCCCCTCATCTCTTCTATCTTCTGCCTGTAATCCGCCTCGGCATTGTAATACTTGCCCGCGCCCCGCATCCGCTCCCACAGAGACAGATGCTTAGGATGAACAGCGGGACCGTGGTATTCGCTCTCCCGGCCGTGGCGGAGATAGTACCAGCGGCGCTCTTGCTCCCTGAGATCTAGGCCTGTTGTGTCGGGCAGGAAGAGCCAGGTGAGGATCATCCCGGCCAGACCGAACCAGGGGACGACGTAGAATTTGGTCTGGGTGTCTATGTAATTGTATAGGACGGCGGCGGTGAGGGCGCCTAGTTTTCCGACTGCGGCAGCGAAGCCGTGGGCTGTTGCACGGATTGGGGTGGGGAAGACTTCTGCTGCGACGAGGAAGGTTACGGCGTTGGGGCCGAATTGGTTGAAGAAACTGCTGAGGAAGTACATGGCCTGGAAGGCGTGGATGTTTTCGGGGGAGGTGAAGAAGGAGAAGTTGAAGGCGGGAATGATGAACAAGATGAAGTCCATTAGGAAACCGATTTGTTGCATCAGTCTGCGGCCGTAGAGTTTGTTGTCGATGAAGAAGGCTGTCGTTCGTTTTGTCTGTTAGCAAAGGACTTTGTGGATTGAATGACTGGAAGCGTGTTAAAAAAGACGGCATCAGCACTGCTTACCAGCCATATAGTATCCCACCAGCGACACGCCCACATTAATCATATTATACAGCCAACCCGGCAGAATCGAATGCGAATTCGGGCTAATGACGGCAATGAACTCGCTCTGGAACAGCTTATTCCCATAGAAGAACACATCATTCGCAAACCAACTCCCCGCCGTCGCTATCAGGCGTGGCCCAAAATACTTAAACGTCAACGCCAGAGACTCCGTATCGTAGCCCGTGACCTTCGATTTCGCCTTGGAGAGGGCCAGCTGCTTGCTGGCGGCCTTCATCTTGAAGTAACGGTAGTAGACGAGCCAGAGAGTGCCGACAGCGGGGATGGCGAAGGAGATGCGGTATGTCCACTGGGCAGCTACTGCTGAGTAAGGCGGGTTCCCGCTGCCGTGGTGGAAGCAGAGGAGCAGAATGATGAGGAGCGCCTGGTTGAAGAACTGGCCCCAGCCCTGCATCAGGAAGGCGCTGGTTACTTTGCGCCCACGGTGGAGGCGGTCTTCCCTGTTGGAGACTCTGCCGGATCCCACGGCGTTTTCCATCCCGCTGGTTGCGGTCATTGGGTATTCGCCTCCTGCAGACGAGGGAAGTGTCAGCACCGGGATGAGAAGAATAAGTGTCAAGGGGAGCCACAAGGGTTCGTGGCGTACCGACTCCGATGCCATAAACAAATAAGGACCAGACGTAGCAGATAACCCAGCCATTCTGAGTAACGCCCCAAGCTGCTGTGATCATCATCAGGCCGAGGAGCATGATCACCGCATCTTGAATCAGACCGAATCGCCGTCCAACCCTAATGCCCGGAGTCCCAGTCAGACAAATAACAAGTTACATGTGTGAAAACGGAATGCAGGACTCCGAGGTCACCTACCAGTCCCCAATAACCCCAACAATGATCTGCCCGACGATGATCCCGCAGATTTCCAGATACTCAACCGCGGCAATCCAGGTAGGACTGCAGATCTTCTTCGTGCCCCAGCACTCCCGGAACGCGCTTTGGAACAGGGGTTTGATGTTGCCGATGGAGAAGAGAACGTATCTATGTCGAGTCAGTTTTCTGCTTCTCCTTCTTGTTCTTCTTCTTCTCTTCTTCTTCTTCTCTTCTTCTTCTTCTCTTCTTCTCTTCTTCTTCTTCTCTTCTTCTTCTTCTTCTTCTCTTCTTCTTCTTCTTCTTCTTCTTCTCTTCTTCTTCTTCTCTTCTTCTTCTTCTTCTAATATAATCGACAATCGATCCCACGCAATGCTAAGCAATGCCCAGCCACGCCAGCATCCAAGAAAAGCTAACCGGCCGCCAAGAACGGGCAGTCCCAAGCAAAAAAAGCAAGTAGATAAAATAAAAGTAAATAAAATAAAGAAAATATGTAAATTAAAAAAAAATATGTAAATTTAAAAAAAAAAAAAAAAAAACACTCACCCTTCAAGCCCCAACCCGGCCCCCGGCAACACCATGTTCCTGAAGTAATACGCAACCGGCGCCAGAGGATCCGTTTTGAAGGCCTTCCACACTCCCGCGAACTCCCTCGCCGCCTCCGCGACATCGTATTGAGTGACGAAGGCGACCCGTTTGTGCCAGGGGAGGTCGGCCCAGTAGACGCCGTCCGGGAGTGTAGCTGTCATCGGGCCGGATGAATGTGTCGAAGGCTTCCTTTTCAGACAGGTTCATCTCATGGTGGGCGGAGTGGAAGGGGGGTGGAGGGGAAGGAGAGACGGAGGGAGCGGATGAAGATTGGGACGAGGAGGAGGAGGAGGAGGAAGAAGAAGAAGAAGAAGAAGAAGACGGGGCGGAGGGGTAGGGGGAGGGAGAGGGAGAGGACATCGCAGGGGCTGCAGGGTCCCGGGCAGGGGTAGGTGTGGGCGTGGGCGTGGGCGTGGGCGTGGGCGTGGGGGCGTTGGAGAGTGCAGGGGACTCCCGATGATCTGGCCTAGTGGGCAGCGCCCAAGGTTGACGATGGCGTTGGCGATGGCGATGGCGATGGCGTTGGCGTTGGCGTTGGCGTTGGCGTTGGGTTAGGGCTGCTCCCTTGGGCAACTCTCTAGAGGCGAATGAGTTCCTGGATGGGCGCGCCTATTAATCAAGTGGCAGGAGGGACACGGCCGGGAAGGAAGCAAGGGAGGAAGCAAGGAAGGAAGCAAGGAAGGAAGCAAGGCAGGTCGCAGCCAAGTTGGGCGCAAGGCGTCGTGCAGCAGGGGCCCTTTAGCAACCTGGGCGGCCAAGTCAGCAACCAGCAGAGCACGACGGGGGCGACCAAGGAACAACCCACCCGCCCACGTTCCCGTGCGGGGGGCTGTGAATGGTGCAGCCGCAGCAGCAGCGGCGGCGGCGGCGGATATATATATAAAATAAAAATAAAAATAAAAATAAATAAGGAAATAAAAAAAAAAAAAAAAAAAAAAAAACTCAACTCACAGCTTTCCCCCTGTCTAGCAGACCTGGACAGAAAACAAGCAAATTGCTAATGCAGCTATCCACTGACTGATTCTGGTCTTCCGTCCCTGGCGTGGGAATGTGTGTACTGGGGCGTGCAGTGGAAGGGGGCCCGCCACGATATGGATCGGATCCTCAAATAGTACAAACCACCCCTGGCTGTGTGATGCGACGTGGAGAGATAAGAGGGAGAAGGAGAGAGAGAGAGAGAGGGAGGAGGCCAACGGAGGAATGGATCCGTGGTATATAAAAAGGACTAGGGAAGAGCAGACAGCCGGGTCTTACAGCAGGAGGGGTGGCCGTGGAAGGGCGACGGAGGAGCGGAGGAGCGGGGTTATATAAGGCAGGGGGAGGGAGGGGAGAGGGAGGGGGGGGGGGGGGGGTGTAGGGTGTGTGTGTGGTTGGGGTTGGGGCTAGGGTTGTATGTATACGGTACTGGATATAAAGTATTGGACGGTCGTAAAGGAGGAGGGGAGAGGGGGGTGTATAAGAAAGTAACCAAATCGCGGATGCGTTTGCCAAAGCAAGCAGCAGCCTGCAGCAATATTGCGTATTACTCGGAGTGCCGCGTATGATAAATATTTTACGAGACAAGCGGGGGTTTTTCATCTCACCCGCCCCATCTCTGTTCCTTCTTCTCGGTCTTCCCCTCTGCCTGTGATCATTACTGTTACTACCTACCACGGGCTAGCGGGGGTTGCGGGCTGCTGGACACATCCACGACGATTCCATGGGTTGGGGGGGAAGGGGG